TCTCCCTTAACTCTTTCTCTCTGGCTTTCCATCGGTTCCGTTCAGCTGCCAACAGAGAGAGCACTGGCTGGGTCTTCTGGCCCCTTTGTTCCCCTCTGAGGACAACTCCCTGGCCTCCCACACTCACTCTGTTTCTGACTCTGGCCCCCTCCGGTCATCTACCATTTTTATTCAGTCCGAAGTCCCCCTGGCACACTGGAATGGAGCGACCCATTATCACTCACCCACTCTCCACATCCTGCGATGGATTCAAATCAGCTGCTTGCCCCCAGATCCCTCCACCAGACGCCAAGTCTTTCTCCTGGTTTTCTTCAGGGACTGGCCATCCTTTCCTGCACACAGGATGCATGTCCGGCCTCCTTAGTTGAAAGCCAGTTATCAGAAAAGGAACCAATTAAAATATTACTGCTTTGTGGCCTCTTTGTTAACCTTCTCGCCACCCCTCCAAATTGTTTTTCATTATATTTGGGCAGAGTAGAGAAAAGTGCTTACTTGATGGAACGTGTTTATCAGGTAAGCCCACACAGAATCATCTAGAAAGACAGTAGAGTCGAGAAGGTGGTAGGGGGTGGCCTGCTTTGGTGAGAAGGAGAGTGTGGGGTGCTCAGGAACAGCCAAGAATGTCTTGGGGGGTCACTGCCCCATCAGGTCTGCGCTGGGTTGCCAGGCGTTGCTTTGGTCCTTCGAAGGCAGCAAGCGGGGCAGGGAGCTGTCTAGTGGAAGGTGGCAGTGTGGGTGGTGCCCCGCACATGTAGCTCCAGGCCACTGGAGAGGCCATTTGCCTGAAGAAAAAGAGAAAATTAAGAAAAAAGTCTTTTATCTAAATTTGGGTACAGTAAGTGTGGAAGGAGCTGGGAGGAGGGTCTGTAATTTAGAGAAGGGGTGTGGTGAGGAGGAACTGGTGACCTCGTGCTGCCATTTGGACTCACACAATTCGGGCCTTGGTGGGGAGACCGAGAGACAGGGAGGTTGGCAAGGCCAGGACCCAGCAGAGTCCCCAGGATCTCAGATGGCGAGGCTGGTATCAGTGGCCAACAGAGTTTCTCAGAATGCGGCATCGGAGGCACCATGTCTTTCTTTCTAGGATTACCTTTGGAGGTACTCAACAAGGTTAAGTTTGAAAGGCAAACAGGAAATTCTGAGTTATCCAAGCACCTACGTCTTCACTGGAGACAAAAGACACTGCGTTCTCAAACTGCTTAATTCTATTTGATCAGAAAGGTATACATACAGAAATGTCCTCCATAAGCTGAGAATTGCTGAGAAATTTTAGCCCAGAGTGCATTAGCCTGAGATAATTATCAGCTCTGAGGGAAAAAAGAAAACTGCGTATGATAAAATGTCCCAATTATGGCAACAGTGTCAGTTATTCCCTTGGAATCTATGTCTTTATCCCATCATCTCGTCTGGCTAATGAATGCAACCAAGGCGATCCTCTCCCATTATTGCTCAATAATGGGCAATGGAGATGGCGTATCTTCGCCTTTATTTTTGCTGGCACATCCGGGCACCGAAGCACATTAAGGTAATAAAATTAGGCAGCAAGGCATCCTAGTCACTCCCACCACGTTCCCGTAACCCCCTCATTTACAACAGACTGAGACAGAAAGGAATTTTTTAGAGCAATTTGCGATGAGGCAACACTGGATATGTAAATTCTGTTCCATTGGCAGTCACCACTGCTGGCTAATTCTAAAATGCCTAACAGCCTTTGGTTCGCCAGCCACGCTGGTCAGGACAATTCAGCTTTAAGGCCACAGAGAGTGGCGGGATGCATAATTGCAAGTTTCTTCAGTGTCTTAAGCTGTGGCTGAACAGACGTTGTCCCATCCTCTTTCTGGCCAAACGTTCTGTCTCAGTTGCAGATCCGAGAAGGGGCCTGTTAAGAAGTTTAAGTTTTTACTGAGTTGGATGACTAAGGCAGTTTTTATTTTTTGAAAAATTTATTGCTCCTATCCGCTTTATTCCCCCTGAAGAAGTAGCTGCCAGGGTTCAGGAAATAGCGAGAAAAACAATTTCAAGGGAAATCGCTGACTGGAGTTTGAGACCAGAGACGGAGCAGGCGGAGAGCCCCGCGTGGTATGGTTATTCTGTAGATGCCACGGTGGAAAGAGGTCACTGCAAGAAGGGCCCATTCCAGAGGCAGCGCTTTTCGGGGGGCGCGTGACCAAGACATCCCTCACTGGGACCGGACGCACACACTCGGGAGAGATTCTACACATACACAAGGCGTTAAAGAGGATTCGAAAGGTTAGAGAGACGGGAGGAAGAGCGAACACAGTTGCCCCACTTTGCAGAACTTATTTTGGACTTTCCTGTGCTTCGTGTAACTGCTACAAAAATAGGAGGGTCACAAGCTGCAGAGCGAGTCAGGACTGGCCGAAATATGTGTCCTTGCACTTTCTTCTCCCTGCTCCCCCTTCGCTTGGCTTCACTGTGCTCCAGCCTGTGGTAGTTAAGAAAGTCCCATGGTTTAAGAGGGTTGCCAGGTCATCAGCCACTGAGCGTTTTCTCTAATTCAGCTCTACGCTTCCCCCTGCTATTGAACAGGAAGTGAGGAGGAGATGGGAGTGGCCTTCAAAATGGCCATAGGGTGGTGGGACCCCAAGGTGGGGAACAGCCTCAAGGGGGGAGGGGGATGGGTGCTTTTCAGGACCCATCTGCAGGGAGCTGTTGTGACCACTTGGATGTATGTGTCAACTGTTCACCTTCCACACTTCAGGCTCCCAGTACCTTCAAAGACACCTGGGGAGATTCTCAGACCCTCCCCTCCAACAGGCAGAGAGGAAATTAATGCTGGCTTGGGAAGGGGAGAGTGGGGGGAATGTGACACACACGCTCAGAGCTTAGGGACTCTGAATGCAGTGATCTGGGTCTACTGGTGCCCCTTCATATGCAGTAAGGCCACCAATAACTCCATGTTTATGGAGCTGTGTTTATCACCTGGGAAGCCCTGCAAGTCTCCCTACCAATGGATCGTCCAATTGGGGGTTCACATCACTTTGTCTTACACATTGACAGTAATGCTGGTGGCACCAGCCTTGTCTCTTGCCCAAGATTGGACAAAGGCTGGACTTCTCACAGCATGGTTTCTGACCACCAGCATTGTATCACTTTGGAGGAACGTGTTACAAATTCAGATTCCTGGGCCCCGTGCATGACCCACTGAGTCAAACTCTGTAATTTTTTTAAATTAAGATTTTAGCTTTCTTTTATTTTGTATTTAGGTAAAACTTATTGCATTAGGCTGTTCTTGCATTGTTATAAAGAAATACCTGAGACTGGGTAATTTATAAAGAAAAGAGGTTTAGTTGGCTCAAATTCTTCAGGCTTTATAGGAAGCATGGTGCTGACATCTGCTCAACTTCTGGGGCAGCCGCACAAAACTCCCCATCATGGTGGAAGGCAAAGGGGGAGTAGGTAAGTCCCAGAGCCAGAGCAGGAGCAAGAGAGACAGGGAAGTGCCACAGCTTGTAAACCGCTAAATCTTGCAAGAACTAACCATAGAGAGGAAAACACCAAGGGATGGTGCTAAACCATCATGAGAAATCCACCCCCAAGATCGAATCACCTCCCATCAGGCCCCACTTCCCATATCGGGAGGCAATTGGATCATGGGGGTGGATTAAACATGAGATTTGGGCTGGGACAAATATACAAACCGCTTCACTTATATTCAGTAAAGTACCTGTGGGAAGTAGAAAAGTTCCTTTTTAAAGTTTCCTTTCTTGTTAAAAAACAAGTGTGCTAGTAGCTCTTTGTTAAGCCCTGTCCTATGTAGCTGTTAGACATGCCGTGCTCACAGGCACATAGTATGTTCTATGTCCTTGTACTTTAACCAAGATATCTGTGCTAGACTTGCTCACAGGCATGTCCCAGCTCTCCATTGCTTTTACCTGTTTAGAAGAGTTTTAAGTTGTTAGCCAATTGGGTTTTAGTTTAGATTGTGAGGTCTGGCTCCAGCCAACGGAGATCAGACACAGCAGTAAGGATGACCCCAAATGCATAAGGGCTAAATTTGTGTGTTTTCCTTTGTTCCTTGTACTCTCATGGCACAATGGCTAGTGAGAAAACCCTTCCTGCAGCCCAGAAAGTAAAAATTGCTTTACTGAAAAATCCTTTGTCTCAGTGCTAATTTTTCTTTGCGACACGAAGCATCTATTTCCAACAGTACCCAAACCTTAAGACTTTGATCACTCAAATAGAACCATGTAGCCACCATGCAGATTAAGACATAGAACAACATTGGCACCACCCAGAAGTCTTCATTCTGTCCTTTCGAGACAGCAATCATCTTCCAGGGACATCTGCTCTTCTGACTTCCATCGTCATAGAGAAATTTGCCTTCTCGTGCTTGAACTTTGCCCACACTGAATCATGCAGGATGCTTTTCAGCCTGGTATCTTTCTCTCAACATTATGTGTGTGAGATGCAGCCATACTGTTGTTTGTATGATAGCTAATTCTTTTCCATTGTGGTATAGTATCTCAAGGCATGGATACACTACACTGATACATTTATTCTACTCTTGATAGTATCTGGGTGGTTTCCAGGTTTTAGCTATTACACCAAAGCTGCTAAGAATATTTGATCTTCAGAGAGGATGGAGAGATAGAGGGAGGGAAAGGACATGTCTTTCTTTTTCGCCTTTGGTGATGAAGGAAGTTCCCACTGCTGCTCCTCCCATCTGTGAACTGCTGCTCAGAGGTCCAGTTTGGCAGGAAGTGGTGAGATGGTGGGGAAGGCAGAAAGAAAATGCTCAGTGCAGTGCATGTGTGCATGTGTGTGTGTGTGTGTGTGTGTGTGTTGGGTGTCCTCTCCCCCATCCTCTACATCCACTGCCAGCTCCACGTTGAGGCTGGTAAAATGGCCTCAGAAAGATTTTCACAGTGTCATGACCATTTATATCAACCTATAATGATTCTGCATGTGCATATTGTGGTGTTGGCATGTATAATCGTGAGACTGGCTCAGATGGAAATCTCTTTCTCCACTTGTAGGCTGGTTATGATGGTGAGAGTATCGGAAATTGCCCCTTTTCTCAGCGTCTCTTTATGATTCTTTGGCTGAAAGGTGTTATATTTAATGTGACGACAGTGGACCTGAAAAGGTAAGACAAGCCATCTGCTTTATTGAAATAACTGTAACTAGTTCCCTACACACACACACACACACACACACACACACACACACACACACACACA